CGATGGGCTGGTCTTTGCTCCCTGGGAACTGGAGAGGTGCTGGGGTGGGTGCTGCCCTGGGAGGATGGAGTGCCCAGGACAGCCCTGGGTACCAGGTGGAGTCCTCAGAACAGCCTCAGGTCCCAGCCACCCAAGGGGCTGGGAGGTGAGGTCTGGGTCTGGCTGCGCTGGGGTGGGGATCCTCCAGTTTCTTCTTCAAGAAATCCTTGAAGAGTACTTTGTCGTTTTGAGGGCTCTAAGTAGCCTGGAGTTGTCCTTTAAAGGCAAAAAACAAAGCCAAGCAAACGATGCTTTAGATTGAAATTAATTCAGCTGGTATTTTCAATGGACATAAGTAATATCTTCCCATCTCAGAGCAAATTCCCTTCCCGTACTGGAGCGTTCAGCTGTTGCGAGACAGCCAGGCTGGGACATGACTTATATCTGAGAAGGAGGGGGAGAAAAAGCAACAACAAATCAGCCATGTTATGAGCAGTGGAGATAGGTTGTGCAATTGCAATTTAAATGTCAGGGGGATGTTTCAGCACTGGTCTGTGCAGACGTGGGTTGCGCTGTGCCTTGCTCTGCCCTGGCAGAGCAGTGGGCTCGTGGGGCTGCTGGCTTGGGGGGGATTTTGGTGCTTTTGAAACTGGGTTTTTTTTGGGTGGAAAAGCTCCCTGTAAGTGATGGAGGTGGGATGCTACCTCTGCACCCCTGGGGTGGCACTGGGGTCCTGCACCCACTAGGAGAACACAAGGGCTGTGGTGGGCTGAGTGCTGGTGGGCAGCTCAAACACCATTTCCCCTTAATGCTTCTCTTTCCTTGGCTCCTTGGCATGAAGCTGGTGCTGGGCAGTGTGAGATCCTCCTGAGCAGCATGGGGCTGAGTCCCCAAGGGTAAGAAGGAGTCTGGGTCCAGCAGCTATGCAAGGCAAGGAGCTTTGCATCAGTCCAAGCAGCTGAAGGGAAGATACCCCCAAAACACAATTTTTTGTCCCAGGGGGTTTCAACATCGTTTGAAAACCTGAGCCCAGGTCTCCGAGAGCCACACGCAAACCCTGATGGGGTGACATCCTGCAGGCTCCCTCTGTGCTTGGGTGGAAAAGACTTTTAAGATCATCAAGTCCAACCATTCCCCCAGCATTGCCAGGTCCCCACTACCCCATGCCCCTCAGCACCACATCTCCAAGGCCTGGAAACCCCTCTAGGGATGGGGACCCCACCACTGCCCTGGGCAGCCTGGCACAGGCTTTAACAAACCTTTCTCAGAAAAAATTTTTCCTCATGTCCAATGTAAACCTCCCCAGTCCTGGCAGTTTTGGTGGTAGGGGGTGGGACTGCCCAAGGACGTATTCACTCCAAGAAGGTATTTCAAAGATAAGTGCATCATTAGTGACTTCCCCAGAGTTTCAACCCACCAAATTTGAGCAGATTGGCTGTTGACTGTTCGACTGGTTTTGCAGAGCAACGATTTCTTCTTCCTCTAGACATCACCCTTAGGGGATGCTTCCCCCCCCCCCCCCCCCCCCCCCGATTTCATCCAATTACTTAGCTGTATGCTCTTCTGAAGCACCATAAATAATTCTCCTCCCTCTGCTGTGTTTACCAGCATGTCTTGTGAAATCCAGTAAGATATGATTGATTGCAATCATTATTTCCTAGTGCTGCTACGAAAACCTCTGTCAGGTTCAGTGATTGCCTTTAAAGAGTGACTGCCACTCAGGAAAACTGTCAAAAACCTGTCAAACTTTAGCAAACTCCAATTAATCCGTTGAGCAGTTTTACTTGGATTTTTCTCTCTCATCATTGCTGATTATCAACGGTAATTATAATATTTTTTCTTTGTAATCAACAGCTTGATTGCTTTTTTTTTTTTATTAAAAAAATTATAGCTTGCAGGACGATTTTACTGGGTTTTCATACTCTCAAGCCAGGTTTGGGTTTCTCCTGTCTGCTCGTGGTGTTGTTGCAGATCTCCTGGGATGTTCCTTGCTGGTGTAGGGGCAGAAGCTGGGGGTACAGCTGGGCTCAGCTCCATCCTGCAAATCTTCAGTCTCTGCTTCAGGTTAAATTAATCCTGCTCTTGCATTTTGGAAAGTGTCGCTTCAGCACTTTTCCTCCTTTCTTTTGGTTGTGATGAGACACTTTCCAAGAGATGTAATAATCATTGCCAAAAATGTCAGATCGCTCTTGTTATCCTCCTTAAGCTTCTGGAACAACAACAACAACAACAACAAAAAAAGACCAAAAACAGAAGAAGAGACGTGTTGATGAGGAAGGGCTTTGACTTCAGCTCTGAGAGCCAGGGGAGGGCTGGGGAAGATGCTTCTTGTGACAACTCTCCTTTTTGGCAGGATGCCCAAAAAGATAACCCAGGGAAGGATGAGATTTTTTTTTTATTATTACTGTTTTTACTTAGGATTCAAGGTGCTTTTTATTTCTTTATTGGAGAAGGAATGTCTCTGCTCACGGTTGACAGCAAAGCTCAAAGCTTTGCTTCTGAAAATCATCCTGGAATCACTCAGACCGAGCGAGGAAATTGGATGGCGGCAGGCCCAGGAGGGGGGATCTCAGAGAAGCCAGCAGGAGAGCCGGGGGGGCCAGCCTGGCACTGGGGGCTTGGCCACGGGGCTGGGGCTTGAGGCTCTGCTCACTGCCAGCTTTCCCAGGACCCAGGGGGGAATGCTTTCATTGCCCAGTGGGAATTTGGGAGCAGACCTGTTGTGCTTCTGCAGTGTGGACTCAGAGCAGGCATCCTTGGCTGGATGGAGCCCGAGCAGCAGGAAACTTCCATCTCCTGCTGGAGCATGGGGTGATCCCTGGGGAGCTCTGCCTGGGTGCTGGGGACCGGCCCTGAGCACCCCTGGGTGCCCAGCACAGGTATCACCTCACTGCTGCCTGCTGGAAACGTGAGCCCTGTGTAGCTCTGTGCCTGTTTCCCTTGTCCCCCTGCCCAGGATTAAGCTGCCTTGGCAGGGCTGGAGAGGCTCCCGGGAGCCATCCCAAACCCCTCAGGATGCCACCTGAATGGGCTCAGTCACGTGGAGAAATAACTAACATGGATTTTCTGATTTAAGCCCATCTCAGAGCTTTGCTGTTTTTCTTGGCTGCATCTTTGCCTGGTTTGCTCAGCTGTGTTTGTGGAGGCCCCTGTACAAACTGAGCTCCAGGATTCAAGTTGGTTTTTTTTTCCCATAGCATCTTTTAATTGCAAGTTCTACCCTTTAATGGGACAGACTGTGACTTGTGTCCCACCCAGGGCATTGGGAGACCTTCCTGGTGGGATGGGCAAAGGTGGCTCATGCTTTCCCAGACCCATCCAGGATTGTCTAGGGCTGCAAAAGATCTGGTTCACCCACTGATTCAAGCAGAAGTTGCTGTCTTCTTGCCCTGGGAGTGCAGGGAGCGTCTGGGGAAGAGCCCAGTCTCAATCTCCATGAATGGTTGGGGTTTTTTTTCTTGAGGAATTGCTTTTGCTCTTGATTTTTCTTCCATTTTGTTAGATAATGTCAAGAAAAATGTTGTGTTGGTGATAATCTGCTCCAAATGTGGATGTCAGCTTCTTGGGAAGGGGTCAGGGGCTGGTGTGTGACCCTGTGCTCACGTGTGGTGTGTCCAGCAGCAACACCTGGCACTGGAGTTGGTGGGTGATCTGCTGGGGAAGCTGGGGCTGCACCTCCACGGGAGTTGTTGCACTGAGCTGGTTCCAGCCCCAGCCACACACCCCCTTCTCCTCTGATACCAAACCCATTTAGACCTCATCTCTGGGCTGACCTCTGTGCTGTGCCACGTGTGCAGCAGCTCAACTCTGCTCCTGTGGTGAGGAGAAGCCCATGCCAGGGCTGTGCGGGGCACACGATGCTGCTGGGATGCCCCATTCCATCCCGGTGCCGGGGCTGGGCCGGGTGCAGGGTGGGGGACCCAGGGATGTGCCAGCACAGCCACCCTCTGCCAGGCTCTATTTGGCATCTGATTGGAGAGGCAGGAGGTGTCTGTGAGTCCCGGTAGCTGCCCAGGGTGCCCGGCAGCATCTTGCCTTCCCAGCACTGCCTGCCCCGCTCCTGCTGCTCCCAAAATGAAATATGTGCTGCCTTGTGAAAAGCACATGCGAGTGGCACAGCAGAGATAAGGTAAACGGGAGAAGTTCAGGGGATTATGCACTGATTAAGTTATTAGGGACGTGAAATGAGCCGCGCCGAGATGAAACAGGAGCTTTATTTTCTGTTCCCAGGCTCCAGGCTGTCACTAGGCTGCAGATCAAACTGGGAGCCAGGAGCTTGCGTGTCCCCCGGTGCTTTTGGCACAGCAGAGGGTCGGGGCTGTGCACACCCGGAGGAAACAGAACGTTAAACAGGGCTGGGAACTGGAGATTTCCCTGCTGGGGAGGGTTTCTGAGGTGCAGAGCTCTCTGCAGTGCTGGGCACCCACCCCGGAGCAGATTTGGGGAGAAAAGCAATTCTCCTCCGGAAGAGGAAAAGCCAGTGCTGCTGGGGAGGATGAGCTGGGGGAGGACCACCTATTTGCTTCATTTCCCAGGCTTTTCCTTGAGCATCCCCTCTAGGCTGCTGTCAAAGGTGGGGTGCTGGCAGAGGTGGGTCTTGGAGGGTGAAAAACAGGGATGCAAAATGAAAGGCTGTTTAGTGAGCATTTGAGAATAAAGTTGGTTTCCTGTAAGGGCTCAGGCCAGGCTGGGTTGGGTGGACAAGCCCAGAGGTGATGCCTGGAGAGGCAGGTGAGAAAGCTGGATCCAGGGCTGGCTGTGGGGAGCTGCAGCAGCCCAGCTGGATTTGGGCACAGGCAGGGATTGAGCCCTGCCTGGGCAGGACGATGGGGTCTGTTGGCAGAGCCAGGGAGGAGACAGCAGAGCACAGCACGGTCCCAGGCGGTCCCTCGGTGGGGCTGGTGACTGTAGGACCACGGGCAGCTGTGGGGGCTGAGGGTGTGGGGAGGGGGATTTTCTCAGTCTGACCCAGGGATGCTCAGCCCACGACTGTGTCTGACCTGCTCTCTGTGTGCCCGCAGTGATGGGCGCGCTGGAGTCCCGAGGGGTGCTGCGGAGAATGAGCGACATGCTGGAGATGCTGATGAAGAGGATGGACATCCTGGCCAGGCTGGAGAACAGCACCGACTTCCACAAAGGGGACGAAGCACGGTTCCCTCTGGACAGGTCAGCTGGCCACGCTGGTGCCCCGTGCAGACCCTGCAGGGCAGCTCTGGACTCGGGGGGTTGCAGGAGCAGAGAACCCCCATGGGGATGATGGAGCCCACCAGGCAGTGGGGCTGGGGCAGAGCTTTTCCAGTCCTGTTGTTTGCTGTTTCTGGAACGCTTTTCTTTTTGGATTTCTGAAATGATTGTGATTCGGGGGGTATCTGCAGCACCTGTCCTAGGTGCAGCTTGCTGTGGTGGAGCTGGAGGTGGGACTTGCTGATGGCTGGAGCAGTACCTGGTCTGTGCTCCCTCTGCCATTAAATCCCTGAGTGAGCTCAGACCACTTTCTATGTGCCTGTATTCCCTGGGTAGCTGTCAAAATTATTGTTGTTTGAAATCCAGGGCTGATATGGTGTTTAGGAACATGGTTTAGCAGTGCACTTGGTAGTGTTAGATTAATGGTTGGGCTTGATTATCTTAAAAGTCTTTTCCAACCTTAATGACTCTATGGTGTGTTCAGCCTTGGAGGTTGGGCAAGGCTTAAAATGAAATGGGATGAAACTGTCGGGCCCCAAAATGCTGCTGTCCTGGCTCCCCATGATGCACGTGCCACATCTGTCCTGGCTGGCAGCTGGAGAGATCCTGTCAGACCTCCCCATCACAACATGCTCATTTACTGAAGAGACATCTCCCTTTGCTTTGGGAGCCTTTAAACATTTATGAATGCTAATCTGGCTGTCATGCCAAGGGCAGCAAAAATGGTAATGAAACAGACTTTGGATGTAGAGGGGCAGAGATGAAAAAACTTTGGCACAGTGCTTGGGACAAACTTTGCAGCGTGGAAAAAATGCCAGTGTAGATTTTTCTTGGCCAGGGTCACAGGTGACACAGGAGCAGTGGGTGGCAGGGATGTGACATGGGATGGTCACCCCTGCCCTGTGCCACCAGGGCTGCAGGACATCCCAGTGGCTCCTGCATGGCATCCCCACCTCTGCCTCCTGCTGTGGTCCTGCTCAACAACCAGCACAGGTTCCTGCACCTCCCTGTTTCCATCATCATTTCCATTTCTTCCCCTTTCTTCCCTTCCAAGGCTCTTTTGCACCTAGAATGGAAAACAGAGTCAGTGAGCCTGTAATTAAAGGCTGTGCTGCGCCGAGCTGCGTGCACACGTGAGTTAAAGCTGCACAGGCAGCCTCAGAGTGTGTGGTCTTGCCTTCTAAGTAACATAATTTCAACCACTGAAAAATAGAATTCACCTCAGTAATGGCAGGTGCTGGGGATTTTGTTGTTCTGAGGCTGGCTGGAAAACAAACCTGCAGGGCGGACAGCAGTGATCCCAAAGAGGAATGGGCACGACTGCTACAGCCAGGGACTGGAAGGTGCTCGTTCACATTTGGTGGGTTTCTTGTCCAATCTCGTGTTAGAAAAACCAGTAACTTCAGGCAATGGTAATTTCTGTACATCAGCAGCCAAGAGAGAAACTTAAAAGCATTTCTGTGAGCTGGCAGCAGTCACTACAGGTAGGGATCTTCATGTTCCTGATCCGTGTGGCTGGTCACTCCAGGGCCATTGCTGGGAAGGACCAGAGAAGATGGGACCTTATGGACCCAGCACACCAAAACAGCCTCAGGGTTTGTGTACGTGCCAAGATGAGCTTGAACAGTTGAGATTACAGATATCTTAATTTTCAGGAATGGCAGATCAAGGACAGCTAGTTTATCACCTTTTGCTCCTTGTAAGTGGCTTCTTAAATGCATTCAATTCCCTTCACTTGATCCTGCATCAAAACTAAACTGTGTTGTCTCCTTGTTCTCATCTGAATATCAGGTTTTGGTCATAGGGCAGAGCATCTCCAGACCAAGCACCTGTTGTGGAGGGGTTTCTTGTGGATGGGTTTTTGCTGTGGTAGTCTAATGAAGTACTGGAAGCATGTGCAGACACTTGTGAAGCATCTCCTGAGTGCTCCCTTCCTTCCCTTCAGCCCTGGGTCAGAGGCAACATGTGGGAAGTGTTACAGCTGTGCTGGGTCTTCGTGGGTTTGAGAGGTTTTCTCTGCTGCCACACGTGCTCCCTCACCTGTAGTGCCCTTTCTTGGCTTGTCCTGGTCCCTGCCTTCCTTTGCAGGGTGCACAAGGCAGCTGGAAGGGTGCAGAGTGAATACCTCCCATCTGCCACCCAGCCCCGAGCAGAGCCTGGCTCCCAGCTGGCCCTGCTGCTCCGATGGAGGCTCTCCAGAGCTGCCTGGAGCATCCCAGGGGGTCCAACGGCAGCTGGTGTGAAATCTGGGCTGAGACCCTGTGGAGTGGGGTGCTGAGGTCTCCATCCCTTTGGGGGTGACCAGATGCACCTCCTGGAGACCCCCTGTGCCGGGGGGCAATGGGGACCACCAACTGCCCTGAGACTGGTGGGTGCCTCCTGAACCCAGGTCAGCCCCACGGCTGTGGAGATGCCCCAGTGCTGTTTATCAGGAGCCCACCAAGGGCTTGTTTCTGCCTTGCCTCGCTGTCTCTGCCTCTTTGATCACCAGTGACTGACTTGATGCTGTCAGTGAAAGATAATACAATTAAAGGGTGAACATTTAAAAGGGATTTTATTCTTTAAAGCGTCTCTGGTTGGCACGGCGGCCGCCTTTGTCTCCTTCCCCGTTCAGCAGAACCACGAGTGTGGGCTTTGCAATTCCACCTGCACAAAAGGGGATTAATTCTGGTTTTTACAAAGCACTCTCCTGCTTAACTCGGACAAAATCAGGAGGGCTTGGGTTTGCAGAGCCCCAGTGAAGAGGAAGGAGGTGGAGGCTTGGGTGGGTTTTGTGGAATAGCCCGTAAACACTGTCCCCCTCCAGCACCACTCCTGCAGAGGGCAGGGGTGGCTTTTGACCTTGAAAAGTGCAAGGAGGAGTTTAAATATATGGGGTGTAGTTAATGACCTGCCACAGAAAGCCTCCTGGCTGCCAGAGTAGGCAGCTTTCTGTGGCCAAAAGTTGCTCCAAGACCTTTCTTGCTCTGTGGGTGCTGTCTGATTGAATACTCTACAGGTGCAATGCTTCAGATAAAACTTGGAGATCCTGAATGTCCAATGTCCTCCTTAGAAGAGCTGCCCAGGGTTTCTGTGGGATGTCATGCTGAGGTAAGGGGTCACAGGCTGCACCCGTGAACCCGCTGGCTGGGTTGCTGGAGCCCTCCTCCAGCCCTCCCTGGGCTCCCTGCTGCCTGCACCCTGCCCGTGCTGGGAGGGTAACTGATGGGTTCCCTAACGAGGGTGAGCAGCCTGCCAGTCAGCTGCAGAAAAATCAATACTGCTGTTAATTGAATGCAACCGTCGTAAATCATCAGGAGGGAAGGAAGTTAGAAGTACTTATGGAAGCCTCCTGGAGAGCTGTTTACTGGGTGAAGGAAATATTCATTTGCAGTGGAAATGTTGGTCCCCCACTGGAAAGCACTTGGGAGAGAGGGGGTCTGAAGAGGCTGATCCAGGCTGGCACTGTCACCAACAGCACTGGGGCTGGGAGAAGCCCTTTTCCAGGATCCCAGCTGCCCCTGCCCACCCCATGCCCCTGGGGAAGTCTGGAGCCTGTGGTGCCAACATCCCTGGTCATCCCTCTCCCCCCCCCAGTGGTTAGCCTGCAAAGGGTGCTATTTGCTAATGACCGATTAATCTTTAAAGCTTAATTACTGCCAAGGCTCAGTTAATTTCCACATGCTTTAAGTATTTGTTCTTGTAATCGTTACATGGCTCCATATTCCCCCAGTAATTAAAAGTCTCACAATATGACACTGAACGGGTGATGTTCCTGCATCCTGCCAGCCTGGCTCTATTAATTCCTGAGCTGTCGCTCTTGATAAGCTGGCTTCAGTGAAATCCCTGCCAGATGCCGAGGTGCCCTGCTGTCCAGGGGAGCCCAGAGACCTCTTGGACCCCTCTGTGCATCATCTCCCTGTCTCCTCGGTGTGCCGTGGGGCTCAGCAAGGGCAGCTGCAAGGTGAGGCTGGTGCTAGAGGTGTGAAGGTTGTCTGGAGCAGACAGAGCCCTGACGCAGCCCCCAGGGAAGGGAAGAGCTGTCCTGTGATGCAGCCCAGTTTCTTCACAGGTTCCACAGCCTATTTCATCCCGGCAGAGGTTGTAAGTTGTTTCTGGGCAGCTCCAGAGGATGTCTCCAGCCCAGTCCTGAATGTTTTCAGAGTTAGTTTTGAGGGGCTGGGCGTAATGCAGCGAGGTGCTGAGGACCCCTCAGCCTGGGGTCCCCATCAGGGTCAGGGGAGGAGATGCATGGAGCAATTCATGCCTGGGCAGCTGAGAGAAGTGCTTTTCTCTCTGAGGCAGGTCAGAGAGGTGGCTGTGTACTGTTGCCAGGGTGGCCAGGGGAGCAGGATCCACCCAAGTGCCCCCACCTTGCCCGAGGGGCTCTGGGCTCTTTGGGAGAGACCTGCAGCTGGAGGGTGATGGGCACTGCCAGCCTGGTGGGGGTAGAGGTGCCCATGTGTGCCCAGGTCACTCACATCCTCCCTTCCTGCTCCCAGCCTTGGACCTCCCCCAGCACCTCCAGCTGAATTTGCTAAACCTCCTTCTGTGGCAGGCTTTGCTTTCTGTTTATTTTCATGCCTTTCCATCCCAAGGCATTGTTGTGCTGGAGCTGCTTTATCACAGGGCTTTGCAGATGGGGATTCCTGATGCATGATCACGTGGAGGTAAAGTGCTGTTGCTGGTGGCTTTGTCCCATGGTTGTTTATGTTGTTTGAGCAGGTTGCATGGGGAAGGTCCTCAGCACCCAATTCCTGGGGGCGAGTGGATCCCCAGGCTTTGGGGCAGTGCTGGGGGCTGGCGTTACGGGGTGAGGAGGAGCATGGCTGTGGCCATGGGTGCCCAGTGCTCAACCCTGGCTGTGCTGAGGTCTGGAGGACATCACAGAGGAGATGGGGACCGAGGTTGCTGCTGACTTTGGAGATTTGCCTGATTATTTGGGTGTTTGGGTGCAAGTTTGGACCCAAGTGAGAACTGGGATAACTTCTGGGAGGAGGCAG